GCTCCATCTCCCAAATCACCTGACTAATCACAGCGGTGCTCAGACGAAGGTCTTCTTCTGGATCCGGGCAGTAAGAAATGGAAAAGCTGATACACAGTAATTACTTACTTTGACATTTTTTTATTTAATTTCCCATTTGGGATATATAGTGTGACGGGGGGATCACCCGATGGACAGCTCAGCTTGTTATGGTGGACATGGGCTGGAAACCCTAGTGGTCCAGGAGCTGTAACCAGGTCAGGGTCTTCAGGATTGCTCTACCAAGGGGGTAGCTGGAATAGAACAGCTACGGTGTTGAGACTTCACACGAAATGATAGGCAGAAAAGTAGTCAGGTCCAGGCAGAGGTCATGGGCAGGCAGCAAGTAATAAAAAACTCAGTTCCAGGTGGAGACCATGGCCAGGCAGCTGGCAAGAGAGTAGCCAGGACTAGGCAGAGGGCATGCCTAGGCAGGAGAGGCATCAGGTGCAGGCAGAGGTTATGGACAGGCAGAAGGAAAGTCAGGTTCAGGCAGAAGTTGTGGGCAGGCAGGGGAGAAGTCACGTTCAGGCAGAGGTTGTGGGCAGGCAGGAGGGAAGTTAGGTTCAGGCAGAGGTTGTGGTCAGGCAAGAGAGAAGTCAGGTTCAGGAAGAAGTTGTGGCCAGGCAGGGGAGAAGTCAGGTTCAGGCAGATGTTGTGGGTAGGCAGGAGAGAAGTCAGGTTCAGGCAGAGGTTTTGAGCAGACGGGAGAGAAGTCAGGTTCAGGCAGAGGTTTTGGGCAGGTGGGAGAGAAGTCAGGTTCAGGCAGAGGTTGTGGGCAAGCAGGAGGAAAGTCAGGTTCAGGCAGAGGTTGTGGGCAGGCGGGAGAGAAGTCAGGTTCAGGCAGAGGTTGTGGGCAGGCAGGAGAAAAGTCAGGTTCAGGCAGAGGTTGTGGGCAGGCAGGAGAGAAGTCAGGTTCAGGCAGAAGTTGTGGCCAGGTAGGGGAGAAGTCAGGACCAGGCAGAGGTTTTGGGCAGATGGGAGAGAAGTAAGGTTCAGGCAGAGGTTTTGGGCAGGCAGGAGGAAAGTCAGGTTTAGGCAGAGGTTATGACACAGGCAGGAGGGAAGTCAGGACCAGGCAGAGGTTGTGGGCAGGCAGGAGGAAAGTCAGGTTCAGGCAGAGGTTATGGACAGGCAGGAGGGAAGTCAGGACCAGGCAGAGGATTTGAGCAGACAGGAGAGAAGTCAGGTTCAGGCAGAGGTTTTGGGCAGGCGGGAGAGAATTCAGGTTCAGGCAGAGGTTGTGGGCAGGCAGGAGAGAAGTCAGGTTCAGGCAGAGGTTTTGAGCAGCCGGGAGAGAAGTCAGGTTCAGGCAGAGGTTGTGGGCAGGCAGGAGAGAAGTCAGGTTCAGGCAGAGGTTTTGAGCAGCCGGGAGAGAGAAGTCAGGTTCAGGCAGAGGTTTTGGGCAGGTGGGAGAGAAGTCAGGTTCAGGCAGAGGTTGTGGGCAGGCAGGAGAGAAGTCAGGTTCAGGCAGAGGTTTTGAGCAGCCGGGAGAGAAGTCAGGTTCAGGCAGAGGTTGTGGGCAGGCAGGAGAGAAGTCAGGTTCAGGCAGAGGTTTTGAGCAGCCGGGAGAGAAGTCAGGTTCAGGCAGATGTTTTGGGCAGGCGGGAGAGAAGTCAGGTTCAGGCAGAGGTTGTGGGCAGGCAGGAGAGAAGTCAGGTTCAGGCAGAGGTTTTGAGCAGCCGGGAGAGAAGTCAGGTTCAGGCAGAGGTTTTGGGCAGGTGGGAGAGAAGTCAGGTTCAGGCAGAAGTTTTGGGCAGGTGGGAGATAAGTCAGGTTCAGGAAGAGGTTGTGGGCAGGCAGGAGAGAAGTCAGGTTCAGGCACAGGTTATGGATAGGCAGGAGGGAAGTCAGGACCAGGCAGAGGTTGTGGGCAGGCAGGAGAAAAGTCTGGTTAAGGCAGAGGTTTTGGGCAGACGCGAGAGAAGTCAGGTTCAGGCAGAGGTTTTGGGCAGGCAGGAGAGAAGTCAAGTTCAGGCAGAGGTTTGGGAAGGCATGAGAGAAGTCAGGACCAGGCAGAGGTTGCGGGCAGGCATGAGGAAAGTCAGGTTCAGACAGAGGTTGTGGGCAGGCAGGAGAGAAGTCAGGTTCAGGTGGAGGTTTTGGGCAGGCAGGAGGGAAGTCAGGTTCAGGCAGAGGTTGTGGGCAGGCAGGAGAGAAGGCAGGTTCAGGCAGAGGTTGTGGACAAGCAGGAGGGAAGTCAGGACCAGGCAGAGATCATGGACAGTTGGCAGGCAAAGTCATGTCTAGGCAGAGCTTGTGGACAGGAAAAAAGAGTAGTTCCAGGCTGAGATCAGGGACAGGCAGCAGACAAGAGAGTAGTCAGGTCCATGCAGAGGTCATGGGCAGGCTGCAGGCTAGAAAGAAGTCATGTCTAAGCAGAGGTTGTGGACAGACAGCAGGCAAGGTTGTTGGTAGGCGGCAGGAAGAAAAGTCATCAGGTCCAGGCAGAGGTTGTGGGCAGCCAGCAGCAAGAGAGTAGTCAGGTTAATCCGTGTCAGAACAAGCAAGGCAATTTATGAAGTATAATTGCTTTTTTGCACAAAGGATAGCTGGCAATAGGACACCAGCCAATGGTTGGTGTCAGAGGACAAGCCCAGCGTCATTACTGGGAATTCTGCCAAGGATTGTGAGAGCGCCAATGGAAGTCCCGGAAGGTGCTCTGTGGGTAGCACTGGAAGTCTTGGCAAAGATTCTGGGAGAAAGAGTTCTGAAAGTTCTGGCAGGAACTGGTGTCACTGAGGGACCCTGCCCCCATGTTGATCTGTCATTCAACGAGTGTGCCATCAAGACAGACCTACTCACCAAATGACAGGTAAACATGAGGGTGGGGCTACGCAGTGATGTCACCGAGTGACCCCCTGCCCCCATGTTTACCTGTCATTCAACGAGTGTGCCATCAACAAGGACATACTCACCAAATGACAGGTAAACATGAGGGTAGGGCTACCCAGTGCTGTCACCGAGTGACCCCCTACCCCTATGTTTACCTGTCATTTGGTGAGTGTCTCTCCACGGGACACGTCGTGTTCATCGGGCAGTGGGGTTTTTCATCTAAAAAATAAAAATCTAAATGAAATTAATCGCACATGTCTATAAAGCACCCAACGCATTTTGAGAGCTCAAAACACTCCCCCATCGTTTGTAAATAACAAAGAAAAATAAAAAATAGATAAAAAATCACAGTGTATTAGAGCAATTTATAATAAAATTTATAGAAAAAAACTTGTTTTATAAAAAAAAGTATTTTATTGTATTTTTAAATTATGTACTATTATTCTTTTTTTTTTATCATTTTAAAGTATATATAAAAATGTATACTAAAATTTAGATCTGATGGCATACAATTTATAAACAAAGGCATAAGAGGCAAATTTCTATAGAGTGAAGCAATAAAATAAAACCAATAAATAAAATTCACATTTTGAGAGCTCAAAACACTCCCCCTTCATCAAGGTTATAAGATAAATTACAAAGAAAAATTAAAAATAGATAAAAATTCACAGTGTATTAGAACAATTTATAATAAAATTTATAGAAAAATGTATTTTTAAAAAAAAATTTTTTATTGTATTTTAAATTTCGCACTATTATTCTTTTTTTATAATTTTAAAATATATATAAAAAATATATGCTAAAATTTAGAACTCATGGCATACAATTTACAAAAAAAGGCATAAGAGGTAAAAAAAAGGACAAAATGCCTATAGAGTGAACCGATAAAATAAAACCAATAAATAAAGTTCACAAAAACCAATACATAATTTTAAATAAAATTATTCAAAAAACAGGATGAAATTATACCAGTAATAATATATATGTGTTAGAATATAGCGTGCAGGTCCAGCATGAAATAATTAGTCCCCTTTCACAGTCATATGAGATTGTTTGTGCTGCAAGATTATCTTCAATTCTCCGTAAATTCTCAGTAAATTATTATTATTATACAGGACTTTTATATTGCTGACAGTTTGCTCAGTGCTTTACATTATGGAGGGAGACAGTACAATAACAATACAGTTCAATACAAGTGGGATTCGAGGGCCCTGATCCTGGGAGCTTACACAATCTAGGAGGGAGGGGATAGTGGTACAGGAGGTAATTAGCTGTGGGGGATGGAGTGGTTGGTTGGGGGAGTAGAGGATTCCAGTATTAGCTGGGGTTGAGGTAGGCTTCCCTGGAGAGATAGGTTTTCAGAGTGCGCCTAAAGGCAAGCAGAGTAGGTGATAGTCTGATAGATTGGGGTAGGGAGTTCCAGAGGATGGGCGAAACCCTGGAGAAATCCTGGAGACGAGCATGGGAGGAGGAGACAAGGGAGCTAGAGAGTAGGAGGTCTTGTGAGGAGTGGAGAGGATGGTTTGGGTGGTATTTAGAGACAAGATCGGTGATGTAATTAGGGGCAGAGTTATGAACGGCTTTATACGTCAGTGTTAGTGTTTTGAATTGTATCCGTTGGGCAATTGGAAGCCAGTGGAGGGATTGGCAGAGAGGGGTGGCGGACACTGAGTGGAGGTCAGTGGAGTGGAGGGATGGTGGCAGTGGAGAGGGATGGAGAGGGTGTGACACTGAGTGGAGGCCAGTGAAGGGATTGGCAGAGAGGGGTGGAGGACACTGAGTGGAGGTCAGTGGAGGGATTGGCAGAGAGGAATGGAGGACACTGAGTGGAGGCCAGTGGAGGGATTGGCAGAGAGGGGTGGCGGACACTGAGTGGAGGTCAGTGGAGGGATTGGCAGAGAGGGATGGTGGACACTGAGTGGAGGCCAGTGGAGGGATTGGCAGAGAGGGGTGGAGGACACTGAGTGGAGGTCAGTGGAGGGATTGGCAGAGAGGAATGGAGGACACTGAGTGGAGGCCAGTGGAGGGATTGCAGAGAGGGGTGGAGGACATTGAGTGGAGGCCAGTGGAGGGATTGGCAGAGAGGGGTGGAGGACACTGAGTGGAGGTCAGTGGAGGGATTGGCAGAGAGGGGTGGTGGACACTGAGTGGAGGCCAGTGGAGGGATTGGCAGAGAGGGGTGGAGGACACTGAGTGGAGGCCAGTGGAGGGATTGGCAGAGAGGGGTGGAGGACACTGAGTGGAGGTCAGTGGAGGGATTGGCAGAGAGGGGTGGAGGACACTGAGTGGAGGTTAGTGGAGGGATTGGCAGAGAAGGGTGGAGGACACTGAGTGGAGGTTAGTGGAGGGATTGGCAAAGAGGGGTGGAGGACACTGAGTGTAGGCCAGTGGAGGGATTGGCAAAGAGGGGTGGAGGACACTGAGTGGAGGTCAGTGGAGGGATTGGCAGAGAGGGGTGGAGGACACTGAGTGTAGGCCAGTGGAGGGATTGGCAAAGAGGGGTGGAGGACACTGAGTGGAGGTTAGTGGAGGGATTGGCAGAGAGGGGTGGAGGACACTGAGTGGAGGTTAGTGGAGGGATTGGCAAAGAGGGGTGGAGGACACTGAGTGTAGGCCAGTGGAGGGATTGGCAAAGAGGGGTGGAGGACACTGAGTGGAGGTTAGTGGAGGGATTGGCAGAGAGGGGTGGCAGGTACAGAACGGTTAGTAAGGTGGATGAGTCTGGCAGCAGCATTCATGATGGACTGGAGGGGGATAGCCGGCGGTGAGGTAGGCCAATGAGGAGGGAGTTACAATAGTCAAGGCGTGATATAATAAGGGAGTAAATTAGTTGCTTAGTGGTTTCCGGGGTTAGGAACGGGCGTATCTTGGAGATGTTGCGGAGGTGAAGTCTACATGAGTTTGTCAGCGATTGGACCTGGGGCTGAAATGACAGATGGGAGTCTAGGATTACACCTAGCACCCTGGCATGAGGGGAGGGAATGATGATTGTGTTATTGATATTGATGGAGAAGTCGGGGGGAGCACGGGCTGGGGGGGAATATTAGGAGCTCAGTTTTGAAAAGGTTGAGTTTAAGGAAGTGGAGTGACATCCATGCCGATATGTCACTTAGTAGGCTGGTGAAGCGATTGGAGACTGAGGGGGTGACGTGAGGGGTAGACAGATAGATTTGTGTGTCATCAGCATAGAGATGATACTTAAAGCCATGGGAGTTTATCAATTGGCCAAGGGAGGAGGTGTAGATGGAGAAGAGAAGGGGTCCAAGGACAGAACCTTGAGGGACCCCGACAGAGAGGGGGAGTGAAAGGGAGGTGGCAGCGTTATAGGTAACACTGAAGGAGTGCTGCAATAGATAGGAGGAGAACCAGGAGAGAGCGGAGTCTCTGAGGCCAAGAGAGTATAGTTTTTTGAGGAGGAGGGGGTGGTCAACCGTGTCAAAAGCCGCAGAGAGGTCAAGTAGTAGGAGTACGGAGTAGTGGCCATTAGTTTTTGCAGTTAGTAGATCATTAGAGAGTTTTAGTAGGGCAGTTTCGGTGGAGTGTAGGGAGCGGAAGCTGGACGGTAAAAAAAGGGTAAAGATCCCACTGAGCCAGGATCTTACCTCCTAATCTCTCTGTTAAACCTTGACGCAAAAATCCTGTCTAAAATAATCGCCAATAGGTTAGCCACTATTTTACCCTCTCTCATTGACCCTTCCCAATCCGGATTTATACAGGGGAGATCTGCTACCTCTAATATTATTATTATACAGTATTTATATAGCGCCAGAAGGTTTGCTCAGCGCTGTACAATAGCGGGGGGGACAGAACATGAGACAAAACAGTAACAATACAATACACGAGGGATTCGAGGGCCCTGCTCTTTCGAGCTTACAATCTAGGAGGGAGGGGATAGTGGTACAGGAGGAGATGGCTGTGGGGGATGGAGTGGTGGGAGAAGTGGCGGAGATCGGTTGTTAGGTGAGGGTGGGGTAGGCTTCCCTGAAGAGATGGGTTTTCAGGGTGCGCCTGAAGGTGAGGAGGGTAGATGACAGTCTGATGGATTGGGATAGGGAGTTCCAGAGGATGGGGGAAGTCCTGGAGAAGTCCTGCAGTCGGGCGTGGGAGGAGGAGACCAGGGAGCTAGAGAGTAGGAGGTTCTGTGAGGAGCGAAGGGCACGGGTAGGGTAATATTTGGGTATCAGGTCAGTTAGGTAGTTTGGGGCGGCGTTGTGAATGGCTTTGTAGGTCAGAGTTAGTAATTTGAATTTGATGCGTTGGGCAATCGGGAGCCAGTGAAGGGATTGGCAGAGGGGGTGGCAGATGTGGAGCGGTTGGTGAGGTGGATGAGTCTGGCCGCTGAGTTCAGGATAGACTGGAGTGGGGATAGCCTGTGTTTGGGTAGGCCAGTGAGAAGGGAGTTGCAGTAGTCCAGGCGTGAGATGATGAGGGAGTGTACGAGTTGTTTGGTGGTGTCTGGGGTGAGGAACGTACGTATCTTGGAGATGTTGCGGAGGTGGAGCCTGCATGACCTTGATAGTGATAGGACATGAGGTTGGAAGGAAAGGTTTGAGTCCAGGTGACACCCAGCCTTGGGGGACTCCAACAGAGAGGGGAGAAAGGGGGAGGTGGCAGTGTTATAGGTGACGCTGAAGGAGCGTTGGGATAGGTAGAGAGGAGAATCAGGAGAGAGCAGCATTCCTGATGCCAAGGGAGTGCCGTTTAGTAAGGAGGAGGGGGTGGTCGACTGTGTCTTTGGCAAGGCCGCAGAGAGGTCGAGGAGTAAGAGGACTGAGTAGTGGCCATTAGCTTTGGCGGCTAGCAGGTCATTAGTGATTTTGAGTAGGGCGGATTCGGTGGAGTGTAGGGGACGGAAGCCAGACTGTAGGGGATCAAGGAGGTTGTTGTCAGTAAGGTGGGTGCTTAGGCGATTGTAGGCCAAGCGCTCAAGGAGCTTGGAAGTGAATGGTAGCAGGGAGATGGGTCTGAGGTTGTTTGGGTCAGTGGTGTCAAGGGAGGGTTTTTTGAGTATGGGGGTGATGTGTGCGTGCTTTAGGGGGGAGGGGAATGTGCCAGTGGAGAGGGAGAGATTGAAGATGTGGGTGAGGGAGCGAATGATGGAGGAGGGGGGTGAATGGAGGAGCTGTGAGGGGATGGGGTCCAGGGGGCAAGTGGTGAGGCGGGCTTCAGTGAAGACCTTAGTGACCTCTTCAGTGGTAGCTGGGCTGAAGGAGGGGAGCGATGGGGAGTTGACAATGTGCGGGGTGTTAGGTATGGTGGGGGGGCAGTGCGGGTATGAGGTCGGAGGAGGGGAGAGTTGAGGGGGGTGATGGGGGGGGGCAAGGTGGAGAGGTAGAATGTGAGTTGACAATGTCCTTACGGATTGCGTCAATCTTGTTTTGGAAGTGATTGGCAATCTCGTGGGCGGTGAGTGAGGTACTGAGTGGAGGTGGGGGGGGGGGGAGAGCAGGGATTTGAAAGTGGAGAAGAGTCGGTGAGGATTTGAGGAGAGGGTGTTGATGAGGGTTACAAAATAGGCTTGCTTGGCGGCATGGAGGGAGGTGGTGTAAGTGAGGAAGGCGGCTTTGTAGAGGGAGAACGCACGAGGGGATCTGGTTTTGCGCCATAATCGCTCCAGCTCGTGACTGCGTCGTTTGAGACATTTTGAGTGGTCGTTCTGCCAGGGTTGGAGCGGTCGGGGTCTGACATTACGCGTGGTTAGGGGTGCCAGGGAGTCGAGGGCAGCCGACAGTGAGTCGTTGTACACAGTAGTGGCCAGGTCAGGGCATGTAATATACGCAAGGTACTTGCGGTTCTTAATCACGCACAACTTAATCCCCTACAGCATTTAGCAATTATATCACCTGATGCCGAAAAAGCATTTGATAATGTCAGCTTTACCTAGCTTCGGATGGTCATGCAAAGATTTGGATTTTCGGGTTCCTTTGTCCACCTAATTGCTTCTATGTACTCTAGCCCAACAGCCCAGGTCCTAGCTGCAGGACTTATGTCCCACTCCATTCCCTTACACAAGGGCACTAGACAAGGTTGCCCGCTCTCCCCCCTTCTCTTCAACCTAGCATTAGAACCCCTGGCACGACATCTACTCTTTAACTCTCAACTACACGGCATCCAGCTAGGACACCAAGACCTTCACATCGCACTGTTCGCAGATGGCATCTTAATATTTACCTCTAACCCCACCTTAGACGTACCCCCCATCCACGACATTTTTGATACATTCAGACAATGCTCTGGCCTTCTCATTAATTTCTCAAAAAGTGAAATATTGCCTCTTTATCACACGAGACCCCCTCCCTGGGCATCATCCCATATACTGAAATTAGCCACTCACCATATTACCTATCTGGGGATCAAAATAGGGAAAATTCCCTCCTCCCTCTACTCGCTTAATTTCATGCCAATAATCGATAAAATTCTGGGTGAATTGGACATGTGGGCGGGGCTGCCTCTCACACTCCTGGGGAGATCCCACCTTTTTAAAATGGCGACTTTTCCAAAATGACTTTACCCGCTTCAAACCATTCCTCTACTGTTTCGACACGGAGATATAATCAAACTGAACAAAGCTATTGCTAAATTCCTTTGGAGGGGTTGCCGTCCTCATATAGCACTGCAAAAACTATACCTCCCGAGGGGTGAGGGGGAGTCAGGCCTACCCAATATTCGTGTATATAACCCAGCATGTCTATTATGTATTAGCTTAGATTGTGTCAAGGTCCTACCTTTTTACCAGAGGTTATGTTACTCCATGTGCTGGCATCCATCTTGGATTTCTGCAGAGCATGGTGGGAATCTTTTATGCCTTCAGGTCTCTGAGGTCCATCCCCCAGAGGGGTGTGGCTGAGTACATATAAGCCTGTGATCCGCACATGCTCTTTGCACTTGTGTCTTGTGTCTTTGTGTTGCTGTTACTCTGTTTTGACTCTCGTGACTCTCCTGGAATCTGACTCGGCTTGTGACCTGACCATTCTTTGTGTTCTCCTTTGATCTGACCCTCCGTTGCTGAACCCGGCTCGTGACCTGTGATTCTCGTCTGCTGTCCTGTACCGTTTTTGTCTCGTTGTTGTTGACCCGGCCTGTCTGACTACTCTATTGTCTTTTCCACTGGCTACACGCCATTGGCGGCGGCCATTACCGCAGCTGGGGTGCCTCGGGGGCCGTGACCTGGTTCCTGGCTGCGTCAAGTCCATCCCCACCATCAGGGGCCCTGGTGAAGGGCAGCCTGGGACTTAGACTCCGCGCCCTGAGGGACTTCGGTCTGTGGGTGGTGGTTGTCGTCAGCCTGTGCGTTACATTGATATTGGGCCTGCCTGTCCGTTTCCCAGCTCCTGCCCTGACAGATTGGCTGTCTAAATCCTCTAACTATTCTAATTACCAGATTGAATTTGCTATGGTTCAATCTTTCAGCCTAGCGGCAATTTTGCATTGTAATGTAAATCAGCTCCCACCCCATCTAAAAAACAACCTCCTTATACGCGATACTCTAGTGGCATGGAGAGAAGTCAGACGTAAATTGGGGGTGTCCCCCGTGGGTCTCTTGCTACCTTCCTATTCATGGTAACCCCTCTTTCCCTCTTTCACAACAACATGCAGCCTATG